ATATCATAGTTGTTTTTTATTTGGGCACTCCTTTTTTAATGTCGCCCTCGATTATTGTCACTTTTGTTATTGTTGTTGTCCCTCTTATTCCCATCACGTGTGATGCCTCCTCCTTCGTCGCTCCCCTTGCTCTGCCACCTCTTTCCTCCCCACTTGTCCCTTCCCATTCCCTCATTCCTCTTCTTCCCTTCCTTCTTTCCCCACTACTCCATAAAGCACCCCCACCCCCCTCCTCCGCATGCACCCCCCCCTCTCAACAATGTGCATAGGTGATTGAATTATTGGAGTTCTTCATCGAGAGCAACTCCATAGAGATATTGTAGACGGAGAAGTAGATGACATAAGTGAGGTTAGCATTGAGACTCATGGCACGAGGAAGGGGCCCCTCTGCCTAGAGAATAAAGTGAATAGCATGGCAAAGACCAAGTGACAAAGTGGAAGGGCGAGGAGCTAGCTTGCATCTGGGTCTTGAGGGTTTCAATGAGGAACATAGAGGTGTACTTAATCACTCCCATAGCAAATCCAACCACCATGAACTACAAAAGAGAGGAGAGAGAGGAGAAGGGGGGAAGAGAGGAGGCACCATACTGGCGAGGATGATGATGATAGTTAGGGGCAATTATAGTGGTCAACGAAGGTTGATGGAGGAAGAGATATTTTCATCAAATTAATAAAAAAACCATAGGTTAAAATCAAAGGGATCATTTGGTAAAAACCCGACAGAGGATATTTTTAAATTATATATATAATTATTTTTTTGAAAGGATATTTACATAACATTAAAATGTATTGGAGTACATATATTATTTTCATAGGCTTGATAGATATAAGAACTTTTTCAATGTAGCTGAAATGAAATAATTTTTACTATGTTTTATTTTTCCCATGTTTCTCTTTAGTTCTAATTTTTAAATAGAAAAAAAATATTACGGCTACTTGCGAAATGATTACACTTGATTCCCAAAACATGTCTATTATAATCTAATAAGGATGACCTAATGTACATGACTCTCACCAATGGGACATGAAGAGATTTAGCAGATGACACGATATTAATTTTTGTTAAAATTTATATGAGAACACTCATAATTTATATCCGATGAAAGACACTTCCCATTGCACCTGCAATACATAATTTCATGCCATTTGGGCTTTAGAACTATAATAATTATAAAATGCTCAATCTTTAATATTTTTATTCCAAAAAAACATTTCTTTCTCTCATGTTTTCATACATACGGAAAAAAGAAAACTAACCAAACAGTAAATACATTAATCAATATGAAAATACATGAACAATTATGAGAGAGGGGGAAAAAGGACTTGGGCAATAAAAAACAAATACATAGATAAAATACATGAATAAACACGAAAGATAAGAGCAAAATATCTCATTTTAAGAAGATTCATATATACACTAACACACGTTTAAATAAGATAAGAGGAAACCAAAAGTTCATAACAACCTAAACAGATAGACGCTTTGTTCCCTCTTCCATCCTCCTGCTGCTTCCCATGGCGTTCCGATCCGTGTTCGACGGCGGAGCCCTGCGGACCGAATTCGAGAGCGCTGGCATCAGCCCCCACTTCGTCCCCCTCATCTGGAAGTAACTAATCAACAACTCCCTCTCTCCCTCGCTCAACGCCTCCTAATTTGCCTTCTTAGGGTTTTGTTTCTTCTTCGACCATCATCGTTTGATCTCTTTCTGCCGTGAATTTGAGCAGGTACGTCCTCCACAACCCGGGCTGCGATCTAAGCGACGTGCCCTCGCTTCCTTCGGCGGCGTATCCTCTACTCATTTCCAAGTTCCGGCCACTCACCTCCTTTCTCTCCTCCGCCCTCGACTCCAACGACCGACTCACAACCAAGCTCCTCATCCGTCTACAGGTCTCGCATCTTTCTCTGTCTTGTCCGATCTGGGGCTGACAGATTGGATTCTGATGTTCCCCGTTTGATTTCACTTGTTCCTTGAGATTGCTGTGGCTCTGCCTATTGTGTGCTGATAGAATGAATTCTAATGTCAATTGCTAGGTTGAGCTGTGGACCTCGGGCTTGTTGGTTTTATGTCAATTTCTACTTTTGTTTTGTTGTAGATAGTTTGATTTGGTCAAACTTTAGATTTCGCTCGCCCTTCATCCCATTTGTGATTGTGGTGCTTCGTAGACAGAAAAATGGAATGCATTAGAGTTAGGGGTCTGATGAGAAGCCATGTTAGCTATGTTTTTGGTGAACGATGCTCTGGTCCTGGTTTTCACTACGATACTAGCCTTTCAGGTCACCTATATCATTTTTTCACCGTAAACAAATAATTTTTTATTTTATTTTCACACCTTTCTCTTTACATTCAAATTGTCTTGCTTTCGAGATTCATGATGGTAACTAAAATTGAACCACTAGGAGCATTACTTAATGCGACAATAAGTATCTGTAGCTTTACCTTTCATAAGTTCTAGTCGTTTGCGCTTCAAAAATGTGCTTGACAAGAACCAAGTAGATGGATTGGGAGATAAGGGATTAGGAAGAATGCCCCTTCTCCTCACATAGCTAATTTCCCACCTAAGGTAAGGTATAAAGTGTTATTTTTCAATATTTGACTTTATAAATCTTTTAATGGTTGTCTAACTTATTCCATATACATAATGATTAAATAATTAATATTATTCGAAGATAATATTGAATTAAAAAAATAAATTGTGTTCAGCTAGTGCGTAGTTTGATTTGTTGATTTGTCACTGCAGCCCTACCTAAATGGAATCTAGTCCCAAGCCATCTCAACCCATTATCACACCTCTGTGTATGCACCATAAACGTAGCTTGTCTGAACTACGAGAAGATTCGAAAGTTCCGTTTGAAAATTTGAAGCTCTAGCACTGCCAGATTAATCTACTCAGTTACTGAGAACAAGTATAAAGGTATTATTTTCGAAGAAAAAAAGGCTTTAAATTTTATAAAGGACAGACGAGTGAATGATGTCATACCTTTATTATTAATTAGACTTGTCCTAAGAAGACTTTATGATCTTACAGAAGACAGATGAGTGAATAATGATAAAAAATTTATTATTAATTAGACTTGTCCTATGAAGACTTTATGATCTTTTTATAGAACAGCTTAAGTGTTATCTTGCTAAAGAAAAGGATATTATTGTTGTTTTTATTTTTTTTTTTATCAGAATGGCAACTCTGTGGAGGCTGTAATTATGAGATATGACACACGACAAGGAAAATATGATGGAAAACCTCGTTCTGGGGGTCCTAGATCAACCTTGTGTGTCTCATCCCAGGTGCGACCATTCTGTTTGCTCTGGTGTAATAGCCATATTCTGGTTTATGACAAATAATCTTAGCTAGACTATTGAATGC